ATAAAGGACAGACTGTCCCCTCAAGCAGCTCCCTGACCCCCGTATATCCAAAGAGTCACCTCATAAAGGAGAGAACAAACTGATATTTGGTGGGCATCCTTCTGGGACAAAGATAGCAAAAGAGTAAACTGGTAGCAGCCCTTACTGTTCTGCAGCTGCTGCAGGTGATCCCCAGGCAAGCAGGGCCTGGAGTGGACCTCAGCAGTCCTACAGCAGAGGGGCCAGACTGTTAGAAGGAAAGCTAAGAAAAAGAAGTAACTTCAGCATCCACAAACTGGAAGTTCACTCAGAGACCCAATCTGAAAGTCAGTAACTACAAAGACAACAGGTGGATAAACCCACAAAGATGGGAAGAAACCAGTGCAAAAAGGATGAAAACACCCGAAACCAGAACACCTGGCCTCCTAAAAGGGATCACAACTCCTCACCGGCAAGGGAACAAGGCTGGATGGAGAAGGAGTGTGATGAAATGACAGAATCAGACTTCAGAAGGTGGGTAATAAGAAACTACAGTAAGCTAAAAGAACATGTTCTAACCCAATGCAAAGAAACTAAGAACCTTGAAAAAAGATTTGACGAAATGCTAACGAGAATGGACAACATAGAGAGGAATATAAGTGAATTGATGGAGCTGAAAAACAACACGAGAACTTCATGAAGCATGCACAAGTTTCAATGGCCGAATTGACCAAGCAGAAGAAAGGATATCAGAGGTCAACGATCAACTCAACGAAATAAAACGAGAAGGCAAGAATAGAGAAAAAAGGATAAAAAGGAATGAACAAAGTCTCCAAGAAATGTGGGACTATGTGAAAAGACCTAATCTACATTTGATAGGTGTACCTGAATGCGACAAAGAGAATGAATCCAAGCTGGAAAATACTCTTCAGGATACTATCCAGGAAAACTTCCCCAACCTAGCAAGGCAGGCCAATATTCAAGTCCAGGAAATACAGAGAACACCACAAAGATATTCCTCAAGAAGAGCAACCCCAAGGCACATAATCGTCAGATTCACCAGTGTTGAAATGAAGGAGAAAATGCTAAGGGCAGCCAGAGAGAAAGGTCGGGTTACCCACAAAGGGAAGCCCATGAGACTCACAGCGGATCTCTCAGCAGAAACCCTACAAGCCAGAAGAGAGTGGGGGCCAATATTCAACATCCTTAAAGAAAAGAATTTTCAACCCAGAATCTCCTATCCAGCCAAACTAAGCTTCCATAAGTGAAGGAAAAATAAAATCCTTTGTGAACAAGCAAGTACTCAGAGATTTCATCACCACCAGACCTGCTTTACAAGAGCTCCTGAAAGAGGCTCTACACATATAAAGGAACAACCAGTACCAGCCACTCCAAAAACATACTAAATGGTAAAGAGCATCAACACAGTCAAGAATCTGCATCAACTAATGAACAAAACAGCCAGCTGGCATCAAAATGACAGTAACAAATTCACATATAACAATATTACCCCTAAATGTAAATGGACTAAATGCCCCAATCAAAAGACACAGACTGGCAAATTGGATAAAAAGCTAAAAACCATCAGTGTGCTGTATCCAGGAAACCCATCTCACATGCAAGGATACACAAAGGCTCAAAATAAAGGGATGGAGGAAGATTTACCAAGCAAATGGAGAGCAAAAAAAAGCAGGAGTTGCAATTCTCATCTCTGATAAATTAGACTTTAAAGCAACAAAGATCAAAAGAGACAAAGAAGGACATTACATAATGGTAAAAGGATCAATGCAACAAGAAGAGCTAACGATCCTAAATATATACGCACCCAATACGGGAGCACCCAGATACATAAGGCAAGTTCTTAATGGCTTACAAAGAGACTTAGCCTCCCACACAATAATAGTGGGAGACTTTAACACCCCATTGTCAATATTAGACAGATCAACCAGACAGAAAATTAACAAGGATATCCAGGACCTGAACTCAGACCTGGAACAAGCAAACCTAATATCTACGTTTCTAGCATTATATCCTATCCACCTCCCCAAAAAACTCCCATCTCCCACTCCATTTCCTCTTAGAACTAAACCAAACCATCCACAATTCCTTGAATAAAATCAAACTCTTATCTGCAAACTTTTGCATGTGCTGTTCTCTCTGCTCAGAAAATTCCCTCCCCTCCCACCATCTTCTTTGCCTGGCTAATTAGGCTTAAATCAGTTATCAAGCCTGGTCCGACATAAACCATACACAAACACGCTTCCCCATGCAACCACACACACCCTTGGTTCTTCCTTTATGTTCTCGGTTAATAACATAGTACACTGTATTAAAATTCTAGACTAGAAATTCCCTTAAAACTAGCACTATATATGATTCATTCTTATTCATAGTAAGTGCCCAAAAAACATTTCTTGAACATTTCTTTGTGTCTCCATGAACACTGGGGCTTGAAAGAGTATTTCTGGGGTTGTTCATACTTTAAAACTCATTAATTAATGATAAGGGTATTACCAGTAGTTTTGCCAGAAACTAAATTTACCATGGAAAAGTTATAATACAGACCCATAGACTACACTTTAGAATCAGATGGATTATGTTTTAATAGTACTCCAGTGTAATGTTACAGCTATAAAGCACTGCAGTATTAAACTTAGGTAATCAAGAAAAAAATGTAATATGAAGCATTTCTCATACATATGGAAAGTATGTTAAAGTTACAGAATTAAAATATATTAAAACTTAATATCAAACCTTGAGCTTAGCTTCATAGAGTATTTTTTAACACAAATATTTACTCATCTCAACCACAATTGCTTAATCCTCTATATACTCCCTGCAATTTATAAAAACCTTCTAGCTGTTATTTTACTGTACTGTAATTATCTGTTTACATGACTCTGCCTCTATTAAGAGTGCAGGCTTTCTGAAGGTAATCTGCCATTCACTTTTGTATTTCAGTGCTTAGCAGCAAATAGATCCCCAGAGGTTTATCAAATGACCTACATGGTATTTTCATGTCTATATCCTGTAAATAATTTTATAGAATAAAATTAAATTTAGAGGTTGGTAATTAGGCTAAGATCACAGAGCAAGTGGGTAAATGAAATCAGAATTCAAATCCAGGTCTTCAGTCAACAAATTCTATACCTTTTCCACTATCTCATACATATTACCACAAGTAAACAATAGCAAGTTGTATACAAATTATGTCCTGTGGTAGTTGTCTGTGGTTAAAAAGTACCAATTTGACCATAAAAATGAATTACAAAACTACAATTGTAAATATTCTCTAAAAATGAGACCTGGCTGGGTGTAGTAATCCCAGTACTTTGGGAGTCTGAGGCAGGAGGATCACCTGAGGTCAGTTTGAGACCAGCCTGGGCAACATAACGAAACCCTGTTTCCACAAAAAATCAAAAACTAGCTAGGTTTCGAAGGTGAAGGATAAGTCTGGGCTGGGCCTGTGAATGTGCATTTCTAACAAGCTCCCGGCTGACATTGATGCTGCTTGTCTCTGGACCATATGCAAGTCACCAGCACTGGCCTAGACAATACTACAAGTTCTTTCTAGTACAAACATTTTCTTTATATATATATATTTTTGTTGTTGTTGTTTGTTTGTTTAATTGCATTTTACGTTTTGGGGTACATGTGAAGGATAAGTTTAAAACAAACAAACAAACAATAACAAAAAGAAAAAACAAAAAACTAGCCAGGCATGGGTGTACACCTGAAGTCCCAATGACTTGAGGAGATGAGGTGGGAGAATCACTTAGGCCGGCAAGTTTGAGGCTACAGTAAGCCGTGTTTGCATCACTGCACTCCAGTGTGGGTGACAAAGTGAGACCCCGTCTCAAAAAGAAAAAGAAAAGAAGATCAGCTGGGCATGGTGGCTCAAGCATGTAATCCTAGCATTTTGGGAGGCTGAGGCCAGTGGACTGCTTGAGCCCAGAAGTTCAAGACCAGCCTGGGCAACGTGGCAAAACCCTGTCTATACAAAAAAATACATAAAATTAGCTGGACATGGTGGTGCACACCTGAAGTCCCAGGTACCCGGGAGGCTACGGTGGAAGGAACACCTGAGCCTGGGAGGTCAAGGCTGTAGAGAGCTGTGATCATACTGTACTCCAGACTGGGCAACAAAGTAAGACCCTGTCTCAAAATAAATAAATAAGTAAATACAAAAATATATAAAAAAATAGATATGAGATCTTTGCAGGCACAGTGGCTAACATCTATAATCCCAGCACATTGGGAGGCAGAGACAAAAGGATCACTTCAGGCCAGGATTTCAAGACCAGCCTAGGCAACATAGTGAGATCCTAACTCTACAAAATATAAAAAGTTAGCCAGGTATGGCAGTATGTGCCTATGGTCCCAACTACAGGGGGGAGGCTCACTTGAAAATGGGAGGTTGAAGCTGCAGTGAGCCATGATTACACCATTACACCTCAGCCTAGTGACACAGTGAGACCTTGTCTCAAAAAAAAAAAAAAAAAAAAAGAAAGATAACTTGGAACTTACTTAAAGTTGGTCATTAAATGTATAAAACTCAACAGTGGACTGAATAAAGAAAACTTAGTACATATACATCAGAGAATACTATGTATCCATAAAAAAGAACAAAATGATTTCCTTTGCAGCATCATGGATGCAGCCAAAGCCATTATCCTAAGCAAATTAAAGCAGCAACAGAAACACTGTATGTTCTCATTTATAAATGGGAGCTAAACATTTAGTACATATGGATACAAAGAGGAGAAAAACAGATACAGAGACCTACATGAGGGTGGAGGGTCAGGGGGTGGGAGGAGGGTGAAGATTGAAAAACTACCTATGCCGTACCATGCTCACTACCTGGGTTGAAATCATTTGTACACCAAACCCCAGCAACATGCAATCTATCCATGTACCAAACCTGCACATGTACCCCTGAACCTAAAAGTTGAAAAAGAAAAAATAAACTGTTATAAAAAGGTAGTTATTGCCACTAGAGTCTCAACAAATTACTGCTAGAAGTATTTAAGAAAAGACTTTACCTTGTACTTCTCTCTCATGACACTCTTTCAGTTTCGTCCAAAGGTCCTTAAAGTCACTAGATATATCTGCAGAGTTAGGGCTTCCACAGCTGCTTCCTGAGATGTTCATCTTGCTTAATATGCTTCACACTGCTGCTTGCTTAATATTTTCTGATCTTTTCTGTTACATTATAGAGGTATCGAGTTGTCTTTGGACAGGTCAAATACCTGAAATAACAGATTGCAGCATAAATGAACTTTGCTTTTACCTTCACGTACTTTGAAGTCAGGTTGAAACACAAGTCCAGATATTTTCAAGTTTTCCTTATTTACCTATAATCAATCATTTTTAGAATTTGGGAAGGGAAGGAAAGAATAAGGAAAGAGGATGATAACGGTGAGCCTTGACTTCAGATATTTAGCTATATAAGGTAAATTTTCAGGCAAATTTTCTTACTCCTCTTAGAGAAAGAAATTATCTATCATTACATTAAACAGAAAGGATCCAAATATTGAGACATTTTTATCATTCATGGTCAATATTAATGTACCAGTATAAAAGTATTTATTGTTTCAGCTGGGCGAGATGGCTCTTGCCTGTAATCCCAGCACTTTGGGAGGCTGAGGTGGGTGGATCACTTGAGGTAAGGAGTTTGACACCAGCGTGGCCACCATGGTGAAACCCCATCTTTACTAAAAATACAAAAAATAGCTGGGTGTGGTGGTGCATGCCTGTGGTCCCAGCTACTTGAGAGGTTGAGGCAGGAGAACTGCCTGAAACCGAGAGACAGAAGTTGCAGTGGGTGGAGATTGTGCCACTGCACTCCAGCTTGGGCAACAAGAGACCCTGTCTCGATTAAAAAAAAAAAATTGTTTTTTTTAACTTTGAATTGACATGGAGTGGAGTGCAACAACATACTAAGCCCAAAACTGAAAAACTTTCTAAGATATTTTTAACAAGCATCCATATATACACACATCTATGTGTATTCTATAACAGAGTCAGACAGACGACAGATGTATTAACACAGATGAGGATCTGTATAATTTTCCAAAAGCAAGAGAAGTCAGTAAGATACAAACAGAGCAAACATCTATGAATACAGAAACATCTTAGAGTTATGAGACCATTAGGGTAAAGTTCTTCATGCCTCTCTTAGAATAAAGGTGAATGATTAAGTTTATTACATAGTCCTTGAAGAAACCAACAGGTTAAGAAGTTCGAGTGGATTAGTAAATATTTTAATATGCATTCTTAAAATGAAATCACTAATTAGCTACAACTTAAAAAGTTTAGGGCAGGGGGCCGGGTGCGGTGGCTCATGCCTGTAATCCCAGCACTTTGGGAGGCCGAGGCGGGTGGATCACAAGGTCAAGAGATTGAGACCATCCTGTCAACATGGTGAAACCCTGTCTCTACTAAAAATACAAAAAATTAGCTGGGCATGGTGGTGCGTGCCTATAATCCCAGCTACTCAGGAGGCTGAGGCAGGAGAATTGCCTGAACCCAGGAGGCGGAGGTTGCTGTGAGCCGAGATCGTGCCATTGCACTCCAGCCTGGGTAACCAGAGTGAAACTCCATCTCAAAAAAAAAAAAAAGTTTAGGGCAGGGCGTAGTGGCTCACATCTGTAATCCCAGCACTTTGGGAGGTTTAGGCGGGCGGATCACCTGAGGTCATGAGTTCAAGACCAGCCTGACCAACATAGAGAAACCCTGTCTCTATTAAAAAATACAAAATTAGCTGGGTGTGGTGGCACATGCCTGTAATCCCAGCTATTTGGGAGGCTGAGGCAGGAGAATCGCTTGAACCCAGAAGGCAGAGGTTGCAGTGAGCTGAGATCGTGCCACTGCACTCCAGCCTGGGCAATGAGAGCAAAACTCCATCTCAAAAAAAAAAAAAGTTTAATGATTAGCAAGTCTACTAAACCTCCTCAGCCAATGCAGTACCATTTCTAACAAGTACACAAACTGACTGTTCCTTGCTAACCATTTCTTGAGGTCTCTGATGAAGGGGCTGAAACAGTAGTTCTGAAGGGAGCAAGAGTATATGTGAAGCCATTTAGTGAACTGTAAAGCACTACAAAAATAAACTATCAAGCTTTGCAAAAATTGTGATTAGACTTTTAAACATAATCAGCAGAGACTAAATATGAACTGGATTTTAGATTATTAGGGAATTGTTAATTTTCTTGGGTATGATGATGTGGCCATTTTTTAAAAAGAAAGGTCTAATCCCAGCACTTTGGTAGGCCGAGGTGGGTGGATCACAAGGTCAAGAGATCGAGACCATCCTGGTCAACATGGTGAAACCCCGTCTCTACTAAAAATACAAAACATTAGCTGGGCATGGTGGCGCATGCCTGTAATCCCAGCTACTCAGGAGGCTGAGGCAGGAGAATTGCCTGAACCCAGGAGGCGGATGTTGCGGTGAGCCGAGATCGCGCCATTGCACTCCAGCCTGGGCAACGAGAGCGAAACTCCGTCTCAAAAAAAACAAACAAACAAACAAAAAAAACCAGAAAGGTCTTATCTGTTAAACGGATATTTACTGAGATATTTACAGGTAAAGAGATAAATTTTCTGAGATTTACTTGAAAAAAAAGTCAAGCTTAAACAAAAATGGATGTTGGATGAACAGCTGAAACAAGGGCTGAACTTCGACAATTACTGAAGCTGGGTAATGGATGGGTATACAATGGGGTTCATAATTTCTGTATTTCTCTCAGGTACGTTTATCTCTGTAAGAAAGTTTTTGAAAATAAAATTAGGTGCACTGCATTAGTACAGTTTTGTTTCCAAAGAGGTTTTCATTCTTTTTTTTTTTGAGATGGAGTTTTCCTCTGTCGCCCAGGCTGGAGTGCAGTGACGCGATCTCGGCTTAGCTCAACCTCCGCCTCCCAGGTTCAAGCGATTCTCCTGCCTCAGCCTCCGAGTAGCTGGGTTTCCAGGCAGATGTCACCACACCCGGCTTATTTTTGTATTTTCGGTAGAGGCAGTTTCCTCATGTTGGCCAGGCTGATCTCGAACTCCTGACCTCCCTGCCTCAGCCTCCCAAAGTGCTGGGATTACAGGTGTGAACCACCTCGCCCCGACTCATTCCATTTTTAACTCTAAGGGCTAAACAAATGGGCCTACATATAACTGTGAATAAAAGCCACCATGTATTGTTTCCCACATACCAGAAACTGTGCTGTTTTATATTCGACATAATCTTCAGAAAAACTCTGTAAGACAGGTACTATAATTTCATTTGAGAGTTGGGGGAAGAGGCTTAAGGAAGTAAATGACTTGCACAAGGTCACTCAGCTGGGACATGCCTACTCAGGGCTGAAATGAAGTCATGTGAGACCAATGACTGTAAAATATCTCTCTGTGGCAAAAAAAAAAAAAAAAAAAAAAAAAAAAAAAAAAAAAGATGGGGACATAAACTGTTTCTATTAAGTCAACAGTGTAAAATAAAGGTTTAATTACTTTAATGATCCAAAAAATATTAATACATTCATTTAAAACCAAGGGTGTAAGTGAAGTACAGTGCTTTAAAAGCAAAACATAAAAACACTTTATCAACATTAAACTTACAAAATTCTGGCTCGCAAAACCCTTTCCACCTACCCAGCATGCCCAGCACTTTTTGCTGGCATCTCTCTCGGCACTGAACCGTTATTCGAGCCACATCGACAATGTACATTTCCCAATCTCTCAGAACAGTACCTCTTGCCTCCCAAGTTGCATTCTGGGCTCGAAGGCCTGTAATCGCTTAATACATTTCTGTGTATTCCTTAGTATAAACCACCACACCGCAGGTGCTCACTAAATACTGACTGCCACATCACACGTATTCTCACACAAGTAAGGCGAGAGGCAGGTCTCGAGTCACACGGGGGACTTGAACAAACTCCGCGAGACATCTGATTGGTGCTCTTAGGCACCGAGCAGAGCAGAGCTGCAAAAGCTTTCCAGCCAGGCCCCTTCTACATCCGCCTCTCCCCAGGGACCGCGCAGTTTCCGCGTGAGGGTCTGGCCAAAAAAGCTCCCAAGCGCGCGCGCCGAAGTCAGCGCATGCGCGGGGCGAGCTTGGCGCTGAAAGGCGCTTCCACACCCCGCGCGGGAGGCGCAGAAACTGTACTCAGTTGAGCGCTGGTCCTCCCGCCGGTCCACCTCCAATGAGTGTAGCCCGGGCCAGGCCTATTCCCTCAGACACTGCCACAGAGCTGCACCCCTACCCCGGAAGCCCTTGGCGCAGCTCCAGACCAGAAGAGGCCGCTCTGACCCAGAGGTCCGGGTGGAGCAGAGATTCCTTTTACTCACCGCCTCCAAGATTGCCTCGGGATTTGCGGAAGCCCCCGAAGGGAAGGAGGCCCCTTCGGAGGCTGTGAAGGGACGGCTGCTCGCTTTTCTCTTTCTCCCTTTTCCCTCATCAGAGTGCCAAGTCCTCGGTGGGAAAGCCAACCCCTCCGGGCAGCCCGCGCTTTAAGGCCGGGGGCTGCAAGCCGGGCTAGAAGGCGGCCGGACCCGCCCCGCCCGGGAGCCTGCGCGACGTCACGTGGGAGTTCCCGGTACGTCACGCCCCTTCCTCGCGCTGGCCATCTCCGCTGTGCCCTTCCTGCCTCGGCTGAGGAGCCGGCTCCGCGTTGCAGCCCAGGCCGGAGGTCGGTGGCTGGGGAGGGGAGCGCCACCTCCGAGCTTCCGGGAGCGACCCGAAGAGCCTGGCGGCCGCCACACCATTTCTCAGAACCGTTGGGGAAAACTCCAGCCGTTCTGTCGCGGGAGCATCAAGCCCTTGGGGTTCTGTGAAAGTTATCTGTACAGTGTATCTAACGTAAGCATTTTGCAGGGAAAGTATGTATAAATGACCTGTGCCGAATGGAGAGTTAAAATTAACTAATGGGCCGGGCGGGGTGGGTCACGCCTGTAATCCCAGCACTTTAGGAGGCCGAGGCGGGCGATCACGAGGCCAGGAGTTCAAGACCAGCCTGGCCAACGTGGGGAAACCCCGTCTCTACTGAAAATACAAAAATTAGGCCGGGTCCGGTGGCTCATGCCTGTAATCCCAGCACTTTGGGCGACTGAGGCGGGCGGATCATGAGGTCAAGAGCTCAAGACCAGCCTGGCCAACATGGTGAAACCCCGTCTCTAAAATTAGCTGAATATGGTGGTGCTTGCCTGTATTCCCAGCTACTTGGGAGGCTGAGGCAGGAGAAAGGCTTGAACCGGGAACGGGGAGGCGGAGGTTACAGTAAGTCGAGATCGTGCCACTGCACTCCAGCCTGAGCTACAGCGAGACTCCGTCTCCAAAAAAAAAAAAAAAAAAAAAAAAAAAAGCCATGGTGGCGCCCGCCTGTAATCCCAGCTACTTGGGAGGCTGAGGCAGGAAAATCGTTTGTACCTAGGAGGCGCAGGTTGCAGTGAGCCAAGATCTCGCCATTGCACTCCAGCCTGGGCAACAGTGTGAGACTATGTCTACATACATACATACATACATACACAAAATAAATTCACTGATGGTGGTGGAATGGATGTGGATTACTCTTAACAGTTTTCAGCCTTGTCGCTGTTACCCGGTTTAGTAATGTAACCTGCGGGATTGGGCGGTAACCGCCATAGATCAAAACGAACTGTATTTTGCTGAGGTTAAACGGGAAGTTTCTGTCAAATTTGAAACGAGAAGGAATCTGAAGCAATCAGCATTATTGGGACAACATGCTGTTAGGTAATTTTTTTTTTTAAGTCAATTTTTCTTGAGGCTGTTCGTTTGAAATTCAAATCAATAGCAGGTATTCCTATTGCTCCTGATTTAAATCGTTTTTAGACCAGTAGAAATTCTACAAATGAACAAAATAGACTAGAATCACAGTATCTTTTAAACCAGTCCAGTACTTTTGTGTAATCATTCTAAGACGAGGGAAGAGGACAAAGGATATTAACAGGCTTCAAAAGTTTAGTACTTAGAAAATCATAAATACAAAGTAGAAAGGTAATTTTTCCACCTGTCCCACATCTTAAGGGATGAATAAATATCATAACTTAAAAAGTTAGTATAAAGAAGAGGGGTGCTGCACCTTCTATTAGCCTGTTACAGCAACTATCATTCACTTCCCCATTTTATAAGACAACTCCACATTTTTAAAAGAAAATGGATGAAATTTTGACTATGTCATTTGTAACACAGCATAGGAAACATAACTGACAGAGTGAAGCTTTTATGTTTATGATGGAAGTAACCTGTAATGTTTGTCATTAAACAAGAGTATTGAAAGAGCAGTGTAGTGTGGTCCAAAGAAAAACTATCTGAGCAGAATGACCTAACCTGTTCCTGTGGCCTCTGCCAGTGCCTCACTATCTAATCCATTTATGCAAGTCAGAATCCAAAGAGTCATCTTTGACACTTCATTCGTCCTTAACCTCCATATCCAAGCCATCACGCAGTCCAATGTTACCAAACATCCAAATCCATCCCCTTTTCTCCACCACTACCTCCATAATCCAAGACACTGTTACTTCTTACCTAGTCTACTGCTAGTCTCCTTTCCATATCCACGCAACCAACCACCCCTCCTAAACCTTTGTATTTACTGGTGTTCAGAACAAAACCTGAGCATCTATTCTCCATATATATTTAATTTTAAATTACATGCATGTACTGTTGAAAAATGGTACATAATCTAATGAGGAAGTTACAGGCTCTGAAGTCAGACATCTGGGTTTGGATCCTGCTCTAATACTTCCTTACTGAGTGGCCTTGAACTGACTGCTTAACCTCGCTGTCCCATTTTACTTGCCTGTAAAGATAATAATAGTACCAACCTCACAGGGTATGAAGATTAAATGAATATATGTAAACTGTTTAGTATTCCGATATAATATGTGTCCAAAAGCTAGCCATAATTAGTATTTCTTAGCTAATATTATTATAATCCATTTTTAAAAGCATTTTTAAAGGATGAAAAAAATAGAATAAAAATATAGTATCTTCTTCCCTTCTCCATCTTAAATTGTGTCTACTTTGAGAGCACTTCTTTATACTGCAGCTGCTGTGATCTTCTTGAAAAGTAAATCTGATAATGTCACTGTGCTGTTTAGATCCCCTCAGTGGCTTCCAGTTACTCTGTGAAGGAAGCCTCTTTGAACTGCCTCTGCTCCCTCTTTGGCTTTTTTTCCAAACATTTTCTGTCCTCTGTTCTCACTGGCCTTCTGATGTTTCCTAGGCCTTGCTGTTGCCTCTGCCGGGAGTCTTCCGCCAAACCTACCCCCACTCTTTACCCTAGCTATCTACTAATCATGATTTTAACTTATTTCAGTAGTCTCTTCTACTAGATCCTAGTAGTAGGATCCTATAGTAACATGTAACCTTCTCATCTTACAGTTTTTATTGTTTTAGTTATTTAATTAATTCTGTCTCCCCACTAGACTGTAAATTTCTTGAGATCAAAAAACATTTCTTGCTGGGCACTGTAGCTCATACCTGTAATCCCAGCACTTTGGGAGGCCAAGGTGGGTGGATCATCTGAGGTCAGGAGTTTGAGACCAGCCTGACCAACATGGAGAAACCCCATCTCTACTAAAAATACAAAATTGGCCAGGCGTGGAGGCACATGCCTGTAGTCCCAGCGACTTGGGAGGCTGAGGCAGGAGAATTGCTTGAACCTGGGAGGCAGAAGTTGCGGTGAGCTGAGATCTAACCATTGCACTACAGCCTGGGCAACAAGAGTGAAACTCCGTCTCAAAAACAAACAAAAAAAAAACATGTCTTGAGCCAGACTTTGGGTGGCTGAGGCAAGAGGATCATTTGAGGCCAGGAGTTCAAGATGAGCTTGGGCAACATAGTGAAATCTTGTCTACTATTTTAAAAAAACAAACCAAAAAAGCTGGGCACAGCGGTGCGTGCCTCTAGCTCTAGTTACTGTGGAGGCTGAGGTGAGAGGATCACTTGAGCACAGAAGTTCAAGACTGCAGTGGTCTGTGATTGTGCCAGTGTACTCCAGCCTAGGTGACAGAGTGAGAGACCCTGTCTCTAAAATTAAAAAAAAAAAAAAAAAAAAAATTTGTTCCCGCTTTTATCTCCAGGAACTAGCCCAGTGCCTACTACTGAATCAGTATTCTATGAGTAAATGAATGAAATGGACATTCCCTGATCCTGTTTCTATGTAAGGGGGAACCTTTGGGTGCTTTCAAAATTCTTAGGGTTTTTTTTGTTGTTGTTGTTTGTTAGTTTGTTTTGAGATGGAGTCTTACTCTGTCGCCCAGGCTGGAGTGCAGTGGTATGATCTCCATTCACTGCAACCTCTGTCTCCTGGGTTCAAGCAATTCCCTGCCTCAGCCTCCTGAGTAGCTGGGATTACAGGTGCCTACCACCATGCTTGGCTAATTTTTTTTGTATTTTTAGTAGAGATGGGGTTTCACCGTCTTGGCTAGGCTGGTCTTGAACTCCTGACCTCGTGATCCACCCACTGCAGCCTCCCAAAGTGCTGGGATTATAGGCATGAGCCACCGCACCTGGCCAAAATTCTCCGATGTTTAAATGAGATTGTATAGGGCCACTTTAACAATGGAAATGGCCCTATACAATCTCATTTAAAAATCTAAGAATTTTTAAACAAGAAAAGCTTAGGCATCCTCATAGATAGGTTCTAAAGAAGCTTTAAGAACCACATGGAATAAATTTTGAAGTTCCAAAGATGTGCTGAAAAAACATCTTTAACAGAGAAGCAGTTATTTTGAACTCTTCATAATACTAAGTTTCTCATATTTTGTGGCTTAGAACAGTATTTCCCAAACTTTTTCAATTTCAGCATACTTAGAAAATGAACACTTGGGTTATGTACTGTGATGAAAAGATGAGATTACTTCCATTCAGCAGCAACCGAAGTTGAGACTACAGTCACCTCAGGCCCAGTGCTGCCACCTTCAGGGCTAGGTTTTTAATGTCCCAGCACTCCTGTTGGAGGCCCTGGCTGGAATGCTGAATTTAACAACTGTAGTGAAATAGTTAAAATGGTAAATTTACGTTATGTATATGTAGGCACCAATTTTTTAAAAAAATTGTGTGATAGGCCGGGCGCGGTGGCTCACGCCTGTAATCCCAGCACTTTCGGAGGCCGAGGCGGGTAGATCACGAGGTCAAGAGATCGAGACCATCCTGGTCAACATGGTGAAACCCCGTCTCTACTAAAAATACAAAAACATTAGCTGGGCATGGTGGCGCGTGCCTGTAATCCCAGCTATTCAGGAGGCTGAGGCAGGAGAATTGCCTGAGCCCAGGAGGCGGAGGTTGCGGTGGGCCGAGATCGCGCCATTACACTCCACCCTGGGTAACAAGAGCGAAACTCCGTCTCAAAAAAAAAAAAAAAAAAAAAAAAAAAAAAAAAAAAAATTGTGTAGCAGTACAGCTCTAGGATTCTTAAAAGTAAAATTTTGTAACTCATGTAGATTTAAAAGTCATCTAACTCAAGCCATTTTACAAATTAAATCCTGTAGATTCTACAATCTAGGAGTTAGATTCTACAATCTAACTCCTGCAGCTGGGTAGTTAAGTGTTGGGAAGGGAAAATGATGTATCAGGTTAGACTGATATCACTAAAATCATATAGTTTCAGACTTCATGCAGGACATCAGTTAATCCTTAAAATAGCCTTTGTTCAGCTCCTTTTATTTTCTCTGCTGTCTTCCAAACTTTTACTATTTTCAGTCCTCAAGCCTCTGAAAGTATTTTCACTCTAGGCAGACAACCTAACCTCCGGACTAAACAAGACAATTGAGCTCAACAAGTGTGATCTTCCTAAACTTGTTTTTTTCTTTCTCAACCCCATGAATTGGGCAATG